CAGCTCGAGTCCCAGCCCCATCTGTCTGTAAATGTGTGTCAGCTGGGGGAGAAGAGGACAGACGGGCACTTGATCCTGCGGCCTGGGCCCCTTGTTCTGGGACAGAACTGTCCCTGGTCTGTGGCAGCCAGAGACCCAGTCAAAGTTTTAGTTGATGTGAGAGCATCAGCTAACAGCCCCCAGGCAATTCCTTCCTATAAAATAAAATGAGCGCTGAGGGATAGAAGCTGTAGAAAGTGCCATCATCTCATTGAAAGTATGAATATCCTCGTTACTATTACTTTTATTTGTTGTAGTTTGTGTGAAAATCTACATAGGAAATCGATTTTCTAGTCCATTTTTTTTTCTTTGCGATGCGTGACACACCCCCTCAATGTAATAATAGTCTCTTTGTGACCTCACTATTATTGTTATGTGCTGTTGAGTTGAACTGACTCAGGGCGGACCCTCTGCCAAGTTGTCAGAGTTTGTAAATCAGTGATTGGCCATCTTTGTGCAGCAGAGCAGTTGCTGGAGTTGAACCGCTTGCCTTTGGGTTGGCAGCACAACTCCTCCCCTCTAGACCACCAGAGCTCTCTTGCATTCATCTTTCTTTCTTAGCTCTTCTCTCTTCTGAACCTTGTTTGAGGACAGAGATGGCTCCGTTGGTCTCAAGTGTGTGCTCGTTCTGCAGAGTACCTTCCTTGTAGCTGTTATTACCCACTTCGTGGATCTATTTGGCTGCAAAGGAGGTCGATTTAGTTCCTGCTTTGAAGGGTGTCAGAGGGATACAGTCACAGGGATCCCATCACTCGATTGGACCATTGTCAATTGCTTGAAAAGATGTATCTTTGGCTCATAAAAGAAAAATCCTTCACCATTCATACTGTCATCTTTTCCTATAACGTCTTAAACTGTTTTGAGCTCTGATTTATATACAGTAAAATGCATCCACGTTACAGTTTGCAGATGTAAGTTCAGGGAGTTTTGACGAAGAGGCATGAAAGTGCCACCATAGCCAGGGGCCTCTGCAGCCCCCTCTCCACGATTACTCACCCCTGCCCAGCTCTCTCACCCCTCCCAGCTCTCCTCCCAGCTTTCTCACCCCTCCCAGCTCTCCTCCCAGCTCTCTCACCCCTCCCAGCTCTCCTCCCAGCTCTCTCACCCCTCCCAGCTCTCCTCCCAGCTCTCTCACCCCTCCCAGCTCTCTCACCCTCGCCGCAGGCGGCTGGTTTGCTGTCACGTGGCGACTGGTTTGCTGTCACTCTGAATTAGCTTTGCTTTTTCTAGTTTCCTATCAGCAGGATCATCCAGTTTGGTCTGGCTTCTTTTGCACAGCTCCGTGCTGCTCAGATTGGCCATGTTGTTGCCCATGTCCTGCGTGAAGCCTTCTTATTGCCAAAAAGCATTCCATTGTCTGTAAATACGATGATTTGCCTATGTGTCCATCTGCTGCTGGGCATCTGGGCTGTAGGCCGTTACGAATAATACAGTTGGATATGCACGGGTCCTTTTTGCTGACCTATGCTTTCATTTATCTAGGGTAAATATATAATATTGTTAGCATATAGTGAGTATATGTTTAGCTTTATAAGAATCTGTGAGATCACGTGTTGGCCTTTTCAGGAATGTGACTGTTTCAGGGCACAAGTTGGCATTTTGCCTCTAGGATCACCTCCCCATTCGGTTCCCTTTGAGTTTTGTAGACTAGCGACTGTGGCCCGTATGAAAACACGTCGAGTGTCGATGGCTATTTGGTCTAAACATTGTGGGTTAGGGCCCAACTCTGCTCTGGTTGAGATAGTCCTGGGTTACGTGCAGGCCAGACAGAAGGCTTTAAGCAAACAAAGTCTGATCTCTCCGGAAGAGAGGGCTTTTCCAAGCTGTGGGAAAAGCTGTCCTTGCACTCGATGTGGAAACAGCTAATCCCTGAAGGATGTACAGTATTTGCAGGAGAAATTTTTCCCCATGGGTGAAGTAGAGGGCTTCTCTACTCTAGCTTTTCCTCATCTTCCCAGCCTTCTGGGGGAGAGAACCTGGGGTTCACTCAATGTAGGAACAACTGAGAGGTACCACATGGCGGATGGGGGACACTTTGCTCCAGGAACATTTCTGCTTCTAACACAAAAGATGGAAATGAGATAACCAATCTTTCCCACAAGACTGAATCTAAAAAGATGGCTTTGTAATGAAAATAATAGGCAAACGTATTTGCTATTCAGTTTCTGCTTCTTTGGGGTTTTTGGTTTGTTGTTTTTGTTTTGTTTTGTTTTTAGGAAATATATTTGTGATTAGGAAGCTGTGGTGGCTTAAGGAGTTGCACTGCCAACCCGAAGGCACTAAGTTCAAATCCACCAGCTGCTCCACTGGAAAAAGGCGGGCAGTGACCTCTCGTGTGATTTACAGCCTCTGAAAACCCACTGGAGGGTCATCTGTCAGTGATTTCTGACTCAACGGCACATATTAACAACAGGATAACATTTGTGATAGGAATACAATTTCTGTTCACTGTTTTGCTATGGATAATTCTGCTAACAATCCCTTTTTGCTTGGTAAAATGCAGGCATGTCCCTCTTGGTGTTCTTTTTTTATTATTATTATTTTGTGTGTGTACCGTCAAATCAGATCTGACTGGTACAGGAGGAGATTGTCCCTCCTTCCCCAGCAGAGCATCTTGGTGGATTCGAACCGTGTGCCTCTGGGATTACAGTGCAGCTTCTTGGCATTAGGCCACCAGAGCTCCCCACCTCTTGGTGTTCTGTATATTAAAGACAAGACTGTTTTGTAGACAAGTAAATTTGGGAGGTGGTATGCTACCGTGTCTCAATGCTGATGTCCTTTTGAGATCCCCTGATGTGTATGCCAACCCTCGGGGCTAGTATATTAGCTGTCTATTGTTACATAACAAATTGCCACAAAATTAGCAGCTTAAAAGCACACATGATTATTGCCCCATTATCTGTCTGTGGTTTAGGAGCTGTGAGTCAGCGGCGTTTTTGCTTCATGGTTTTTACAAGGCTGCATTTCAAGTGTCAACCAGGGCTAAGGGCTCTCATCTGGAGCCTCAGCTGCAAAAGAATCCACTTCTCAACGCATGTGGCTGTTGGCTGGATTCGTTTCTTGAGCTTCTAGAACCCTAGTTCTTAGCTTCCCATTTGGTTAGGGGTCATCTTTAGTTTCTCACCTCTCTGACATGACTGATTTTTTCCCCCTCAAAATGTGCAAATTCGTTAGACAATAACGAGATTCTTCTAACAAAGTGGAACTCACATTCTTATGTAACCAAGTCGTGGAAGTGACACTTGCTGTATTATGTTGAGTAGAATTAAGCAGGTGATTCCACCCACACTTATAGGGAAAGGAACGTCCCAAAGGTATGGATGCTGGGAGGTGGGGAACATTGGGCTTACAGACAGTCTTACAGAAGACTGTCCGCCCCCACTGGGTGCCAGTCAGATTTACCCCGCTGAAATAAAATGCATTGTAAATGGTTAGTCGTAACGTCAAGTCTAAAGAGTACAGCCCGGCTGCAGAGATTTGGCACAAATTAATTTGAGTCTCTTACCCTTCTAGACTTTACATGATGTTGCACATAATATCTAGGTACCATCATTTTAGAATTCTTTGCCTTTTAAGACTAGCATTTTGCCCAGATCCCAACCCAAGCTCAGCTCAGCTCATTGCCACATGTTGGCACCATCTCTTTGGTGAACTTCCACCAGATTTCTGAGGATGTAAACCACACAGGAGGAGATTACCTGACCTTCTTCCAAGGAACTGCTGGTAGACAGAGCCTCCAGCAGAGATGCGCAGCCATGGAGTATAACCACCAGAGCTGCTTGCCTGAATAGAGCTTGTCATCACAATCCACCTTAGCTCAAAAATCACTGCCGTTGCATTACCTAGAACAAGCACAGAAAATATTATATAACAGCCTTCTTCCTGAAATTAAACCTGTGAAAGAATTTACCCACCTATGTAACCTAAAAATGTCAGCATGACTTACCTATACAACAAAAAGACGAAGGGGAAATAATTTCTGTAAAATAATATGTTTGAGTGTGCAGATACTCTGAGACAAAATGATTGGATGCTCTTGAATTTAGACTCATCAGTAACGAGACAGCTATGCATGCAGACTGGTCAGGTGCATTAAGGACGCAGATCCTAACATGGTGTCATTGGTGTGGTATTTTTTTCCAGAAAAATGAGGAATTCATTGCAATATTGGAAACAAAACAACAACAAAAAATCAAAACAATCCTCTGATTTACAAAGTAGTTACATTCCTGAAAAATCCTTGTCTGTTCAAAGTGCAGACAGCATTTTGTTTTGGGGTTAGTCTAGCTTAGCTCAGATCATGATAAACACGGTTTTCATCTGCAGGTATGCCAGACAGACAGCTCATTATAAAGTCATGAGGCCCTGAGGCAGTTCATTGCATGGGATAGCCGGCCTCTGAGAATTCCTTCTCCCCACACCCTTCGCCCAAGTCCCAGGGATGTCCCCCATCTACTGTGACAGTGAAAACGTCCCTTGCATTTCCTCATTCGGCAAAGCTACTCCCATAGGAAACCACAAAAATATCCCTTAACTACTGTTGTTGTTGTGTGTACCACTGAGTTGGAATCGCCTCACCACTGACCCTCCTGGAAATTTTCAGAGGCAGTAACTCACGCAGAAGGAGATTTTCTACCTTTCTCCAGCAGAGAGGCTGGTGGATTTGAACTGTATGCCTTTGGGTTGGCAGCACAATTCCTTACCACTAAGCCATCAGAGCTCCCTGAGTTCCTTATCGTCTAGAGAGAAGGAGAGCGATGTGGTGATTGTGGTTCTCTTGAGCACACAGTTAAACCAGAGCAGGAGATAAAAATTGATACGCTCAAAATACCTCCCTGTGACCACAGTGGATGTGGAAGGACGAGAGCGGCGTGTCTGTTAGAAACCCGCACTGTAAAGCAGAATTTGCTTTAGAAACTTCCATTTTAAGAGTACTAACAAGATGCATTCTTTTCCAACAGAAACCTGTTTCCTTCTAATCTAGTGGTCGCTGCTTTCCGAACGGTAAGGCCTTGATGCTTTGCTGAAAACATAGAACCTACGGGTGGGGGCGGGCGTGTGCATCGCTGCTTCGTGAGGAGGGGAGCTGGACCCGGAGGGACTGTGCTCTTAACAATAACCTGGTGGCGTCTGCCTAAATTACAGCCGCTCCGAAGACTTCCTCCTGGTCCTAGAATCTTTTCGTAACACTTGTGGGATACCTTCAAATCATATTTTTTAAATATCTTTTTAACATTTTGGAATTAGAAAATTTTTTCCTTGATCACTTTTATAAGTAATATATGAGTCGTTATATGCACGTTACAAAAAAAGACTGCAAAATAAAAATGCCCAAAAGTGGGAGAAAATTAAAAAATTCCTCCCTATTTGAGACAATAAGCTTGGCGCAGGATAGAGCTGGGTTCAGAGTTATTGTACATAGGGTCTTAACAGCAACAACATTCACTCATTCACTACCTTGGAGTCCCTGGGGTCACAAAAGGTTAAGCACCCAGCTACAAACTGAAAGGCTGGAGGTTCAGACCCATCCTGAGGCATCTCTGCCTAGAAGACCCTGGGCACCAGTTTGCGCTGCACGCCTGGGATCACACTTGAGTCTGAATTATCTTAACAACAACCAAGAGTATCCACTACCCAGAGGTGTTCTTGTTAATACTGTGTTAACCGCCTTCAGCTATGGGATTCTTTTCAATGCACGCAGACATGTATTTTAATGATTACGCATAAGCACATTCTCTGCTTTGTTCTGTGGCCTGCCCTTTTATAAGGCCATCGTGACCCTCTGCTCCTGTCTGTTAATGGCCTTCTGTGGCGTGTCCCCTGCATGAGCTTACATCCTTTTCCTCCATCAGTGGATGGGTGTGGGTTGTTTCTAGTCTTTCCTTCTTTTTAGCAATGTCCAAGCAACATCCATGGGACCTTTCTTTACACAGAAAAGGAGTGTCATTCTGAATGAGGTTTTGCAGCAAAACTTTCCTGTTGGTATTTACAACCTCTCCTTTTGGGTTTTAATCTGAATAGAGGCTCAGCTGTGACCTATATGTTTAATGAGAGATAGGAGATGACGCGAGTGGACATTGTTTCTCCTGCCCCTTTGATCACAGGAAAGCTGGACATGCTCCTCTCTGAAGCCCCCAAAGCTTGGGAGCAGGCCTGGGGCTGCACCCCTTAAGAGGCTTCTCGGGCCAGTTCAGGAAACAGCCCCCTTGGGTCTTTGGCCACCAGGACTGTTGTACCAAGGCTTCCTCTCTTTGGCATCTGCTGCCATAGGAATCCCCAGGGGATCCCACGAGGAGCCCCTGCAGTCAGCCTCGGGATGGCCGTGGGATAGACAACTGAAGTCTTCCCGCCGCAGCCAGAATGTGCTCTCTAGCTTCACATCCTTTACATTAGAGAGTGGAGGTTCGAGCCAAATTAAAAACAGATGCTGAAAGGCAACCACTCCAGTAAGTCCAGGACCAAAGTAGAATATAAATAAATGAATGAAGAGAAAATGTCACATTGGAAAGTTTTGGCATTTCTTTAGTTAATGTAGAAACTTTTCAAATAATTGACACTCTCCGCAGTTTGGAGGGCTCACGTGGCACAGGACATGTCCCGGGCTTTGTCTGAGGAACGTGGGGGTATTCTCCATGTACCTGTGGGTCTCCCCGGGCTTCTCAGAGTATACATGCCGCTTTGGAATCAGTGTAAGAAATTGTCAGAGGCTCTTGTGAGGGCTTTAGGGATGTCCACAACACTCAGCTTGGGTAAGTTTGAGAGTAGCCGGAGGCCCAGCAGGTCCTTCGAGGTCAGTCTTAACCTATGAACTGATAACAGATTTTTCTTTTCCTCCTTCACAGTATGCAACTGATTATAAAATCAAAAGCTACAACACGAGCTCTGGAAATGTCAGCCTTGAAAAGGTAAGACTATGTTTATGAGATCAGTCATGAGAAAATAACTGAGGGAACATCCGTGATGAATCTTTTCCACAGCAAAGCTTAGAACTCTGGGCTCTGAGCGGGCTGACTCATCTGGTGTTGATTTGCTACGCTGGTCCGAACCCAGGACAGACACAGGAGCGTCTGCGGCTCTGGGAGCCTCAGTGGAGCCCTTTAGTCCAATTCGAATTAACATCCTTTCTTCCGAAAAGATTTCCCAACACTCTTTCTGTTATCCTCAAACATAGGTGAGTTAACCTGCTCTGATAGTCTAGGAGTAAGAAGCTGAGGGCATGCGGTTCAAATCCACCAGCTGCTCCATTGGAGAAGGATGGGCAGTCTCCTCCTGTGCCATTAACTGCCTCTGAAAACCCACCAGAGGGTCAGCTCTGGATTGGTTCTGACTCTGGGGCAACAACATACACATAACAGTTAAAGATACCATGGTTGTTGTTCTTGTTAAGTGCCGTCGAGTCGTAGGTGACTCATAGCAACCCTATGAACGAAAGTCCTCAATACTTGTGTGACTTTCATCCTTTCTCCAGGTTCATAGGGTTTCCGGAGGCAAGCTATTTCAGAAGTGGATGCCACTCCTGCTTCCAAGCTTGTATTAATCGGGGAGCTCCACCAAACCTTCTCTACCATGGGTAACAACATTTGACACATCAGTGTCACAGTGTTCAGCATCACAGCAACCACAAGTTACCTCTGTACAGCAGTGCGCAGACCAGGCCTATATGACCTAGAAGAATGTTTGAACAAAAACAATGAAAAACAGGCCTGAGAGACAGTGTTTGGTGGAGCTCCCCAATTAAAACAAGCTCAGAAGCAGGCGTGGCAGCCACTTCTGAAATGGCTTGCCTGCGGAAACCCTATGAACCTAGAGAAAGGATGAAAGTCACGCAAGTGTCGAGGACTTTCGTTCATAGGATCGCTATGAGTCGCCTACTACTCGACGGCACTTAACAACAACAATAAAGAACAAACAACAAAAAGAAAAAAACAACAAAAAAACCCAAACCATAATGAAGAAATAAAAGTCATTTGTAATAAAAAATATATAGTCACACATCAAAAAAGACCCCCAAATCAGCATCTCCAGCAATTAGAAACAGAACAAGGAGCAAATGCTACAGTCTGAAAAACAAAACTCCAGCAATTAGAAACAGAACAAGGAGCAAATGCTACAGTCTGAAAAACAAAACAACCAGAAGGGAAAAAACACAAATGAAACACAACCCCTGTGTATCTTGCAAGCATAGCTATACTAGGAATACAATGAGGTGTTCAGATATTTGCCTCTACGTAGAATTAATAAGGAAGCTCTGGTGGCGGAACCAGTAGGGAGTTGCGCTACTAACCCAGAGTCCACGCCTCTCTGGCGGTTCGAATCCTCCAGCTGCTCCATGGGGAAGGATGGGCAGTCTCCTCCCACGCAGTTTGCAGCGTCAGGATCCAGCCAGAGGGTCAGCTGTGAGTTGGTTCCAACGTGGTGACAATGAGTTTGAGGGGCTTTTTATTTCAAAATTAGTACGTTTGCATTTTAAAGCTGTGAGATAAGAACTGAAAAGTAAAAGCAGAGAGGCAGGAGCCCTGATAATGCAGCAGGTAAGCATTTGGCTGCTACCTGGAAGGTCAGTGGTTTGAACTCACCAGCTGCTCCTCAGGTGGAAGGCGGATCTGGCTGTTTCCATAAGAGTTACCTCTTTGGTGACCCTGAACGGGGAGGCGGTTCTCTGTCCCCGAGGGTCACTCTGAGTTGGCATGGACTTGCCATGATGGAGGTGGAAATGGCAGGATGTTATTGGCACTCGTTTTAGTTAGATTTTTTTTTAAAGGGGCTAACATAATATTTTCATGTATGTACCCAGAACCACGCTGATTGTAACAGTGACAACTACAGATGAGGATGAGTGTGTGGTGCTGGTGGCTGTTAGCCACACTTTGATGATTGGTGACGGGACTCTCTGAAAGGACCGACAGCCCTCGGTAAAGCCCAGAGTGAAATAGAGTGCAGTCTTTCTTCAGCTTAGATCAGCCTCATGTTCCTGGAAAGGGTAGCATGTATTAAGCATCCGTGTTTGGGGGTAGGATTGAGCTAGAGCCGTACAGATGACAGGAGCTTCCCGACACACCCGGGTGGTGGGATGCTCTGAAGCCGGCACAGGGCAGGGAAGCCGGTCATGCTCCGCCGCTCTGAGCATTGCTGTGCGCCTGGCGTCCCTCACACCCTGCTCACTACTCCCAGTAAGGCCTTGCAATGGTTTTGACAACCAAAAATACCAGCACACATTCCAGAACGCCCCACAGGGATGGGTGAGCAACTGGCTCAGTCACTGACTGATATAGATGCCACCCTGTGGTCCTGAGGTGGGCTGGCAGAGCCCGAGGGTGTGGCTGAGGTCCACTGTCGTCCTAGATGTCTGGTGGCTGCTGGTGATGTGGAAGTCTCCCTCCAGGAAAGCGGCTCATGACGCGTGTCACCTTGGTGATCAGATGGCCTCCTCGTGGGGACTCATTTAGCATCCGTACAACCTCAGATGGGCTCTTACCCTCATGCCAGCCCCATTAGCCTCGTTACAGATTATGCCACTGGTGTGTTCAGGGTTGAACAAGATGATTTGAAAACCAGGAATGCATCCCTGCAATTGCTTCGTGCTTTTGACAGACAGGACTATGACCCATGACCCCACCCGAGCAACCACACGCCCGCTCCCACTACCACACGCCCACCCCCACTGCAAACTAAGCCAGAAATGCAGGGACTCAGACTTGCCCAAAGAGGGGAGGTGTCTCCTGCCTGGTTCCGGGCTTAAACCCTGTGCCTCAAAGGCCATGTAAAGGTAGCAGGGGTGGTCCTAGTTGTTCAGGATGGGGTGTTGGGGATGCAGTGAGAAGCTGTGGACACAGAGGCCCTAGACCATCTGAAAAGGCGCCACTCCTGACCAGGGCGCCTCCTTTCCTGACCACTTTGATTCCATGTGGTAACTGGCCGTGAATGCACACCTCCTAGGCTTTGCTTCATCTAGTCCTGAAACAGTCCAGACAGTGCTCTGCATGTGCTCAATTACCATGAGCCCTGGGGGCATCGTAGATCATACGTCGGGCTGCTAACTGAGTGGTCAGCAGTTCAAAGCCACCAGCTGCTCCACAGATGAAAGATGAGGTGGCCTCCTTCTGCAAAGATTTACAGCCTCAGAAACTCAAAAGAGAGTTGCCATGAGCAGAGATGGGAGTTGACAGCTGTCTGTGCCCTTCTCAGGTGCTGGGCTATAGTCCCCTTGCTCTGGTAGCTGATGTTCTAGTGAAGGAAGCATAGTTTTAAAAACTGTGTCTGTGTGTGTGTGTGTGTGTGTGTGTGTGAAAGAGAGAGAGAGACAAAGAGAGTATGTGTATTTCTGTAGTATGTCACCTGGTGGTAAGTGCAAACAAATAAAGCAGTGAGAGGACAGACTTGGAGACTTGGTGGGTGTGTGTATGCGCATACTTAGCGGGTACGAGCGTGTGTACATGTATACATAGCTGGTGTGCGCATGTGTATATGCATATGTAGAAGGTGTGCATGTATATGCATACCTAGCAGGTATGGGCATGTGTATATGCATACATACTAGGGTGTGTGTGTGTGTATATATACATGTGTGGAAGGTGTGCACGTGTGTATAAGCATACATAGCAGGTGTGCGTGTGTTTATTTGCATATGTAGCAGGGGTGTGTGTGTGTGTGGGTGTGTGTATGTATAGATAGCTGGTATGTGTGTATATGAATACATAGCAGGGTGTGTGTGTGTGTATAGATAGCTGGTATGTGTGTATCTGAATACATAGCAAGTGTGCGTGTGTGTGCATGTGTGTGTGTGTACATAGCAGGTGGCAGCCTCTGTGTGAAGGGAGGCTGTCTGGCACACTGAGGGTCTGTGGGAAGCCCTGGAGGGAGGAGGCGTCAGACAGCAGGAACAGTGTAAAGAAAGCCTGCAGCTCAGGCTGGGCCTGTGGCTCTCCATCCCCACCCTCCCCCAGGTGTGCCCAAGTGTGTTACACTGGCTTACCTGCTGCCAGCCTCCTCTACAGAGAGTCTCAGTGCCGGGAGAATCAGCCTCGTCATTCTCGAGTGAGAAAGTTCCCTCCGGAGCTGCCTGCCCCTGACTGAACACTGTTGTTGTTGTTGTGTACCATATAGTTGGAACCCACCCATAGCTGAGCCTTCGGTGGGTTTTCAGAGGCAGTTAATTCCATGGAGAAGACTGCCCATCCTTATTCCGCAGGACAGCTGGTGGCCTTGAACTGTGTGCCTTCAGGATTGCAGTTCAGCTTCTTGCCCCTGGGCCACCAGAGCTCCCTGACTGAACACTACAGCTTGGAGTTTTAGACCTGCTGAACCAACTTTTGATTAGTGCTCAAACAATCTGTTTGCATTGATTCTTAAATCTTAAGACCTTCAGAACACAAATGTGAGCTGACAGGCCCATGGTCCAGCGAGGTGTCAGCTCGTAGAAATCTACTTGTGTCGGCTTCCCTAGGTGCCCGCGCTCTTGCAAGCTAACGGCAGAACAAGGACCAAAATAGAGATCTCCCACCCACAGCTCTATATTGTGCTGCCAACGTGAAGGTGGCTGTTGTTAGATGCCATCGAGTCGAGTACTACTCATAATGACCCTATGAACAAAATATCTGCACCCTGTCCGCCCTGTGCCATCCTCACACTCCCTGACACAAGAGAGCCCATTGCAGCAGTCACTTTGTCAATCCACCTGGTTGAAGGTCTTCCTCTCCTTCACCCTCCACCCTTCCCAGAATCACGCCCTTCTCCGAGGAAACAGCACCTCCTAGCAACATGCCCAAAGTATGCGAGGTGAAGCCTCATCATTCTTGCCTCCAAAGAGCACTCCAGCTACACCCTCTCCAAGACACATCTGTTCATTCTCCATGGGATGGTCAGTGCTCTTCTCCAACACCACAGTTTAGGCAATTCAAAGCCACTGGCTGCTCCATGGAGAAAGATGGGCAATCTCCCCTCCAACTGAAAACCCACTAGAGGTTCAGCTGTCAGTCAGTTCTGACTACATGGCACATAACAACTGTAGCTTCAGTGGGTCAAGATCTAAGAAAGTAAGATAAAATTCAGAAACCTAACTGTCTGTGAAGTTAAAATAACATTGCAAGAAAAATGTAGTCCAGACAGCATGAACCCCAAGAGATCTCTTAACAAAATGCTCCATTGTAATAATAACAATGGCTAATACATGTTGGGTTTCAATTGCCAGGCACAGTCTGAGTGATTGATTTACATATATTAACATATTCAGTCTTCACAATAACTCTTAAAATAGTCAAGGAGATGTGGAGAAGTTCCGTCTTGTGACACATGGAATCACCATGAATCAGAAATCGATGGGGTGGCAGCCAACAACTGTTATTGTCCCCATTTCATAGATGGGATCTGAGGCACAGAAAGGTTAAGTAACTTACCCAAAGCCACACAGCTGGGAACGGTGACTATCACTACTGCTACTTATCTGTCAATAGTCTTCACAGTTACTTGCTATGCATCAGAAAGCCGGACAATGACTAGGGATGATAGAAGGAGAATTGATGCCCTTGAGCTGTGGCGCTGGAGAAGAGTGTTGAATATACCATGGACTGCTAAGAAAACAGGTTTGTCCTGGAGAGGGTGAAGCCGGGCTGCTCCTTGGAGGCAAGGATTCTGAAGTTCGTCTGACTTTGGGAATGTTGCAAGAAGGGACTAGTCCTTGAAGAGGGACATCGTGTTTGTAAGGGTACAAGAGGAAAACCCTCAATGAGATGGATTAACTCAATGACTGAGGTTATGGGGCTAGGTGTGTCAGAGACTATAAGGTTGGCTCAAGATAGAGCAGGGTTCACAGCTATTGTATGTAGGGTTGATGCAAATCGCAAGCGACTTATGGCACCTAACAACAACAACAACAACAACAACTCATCTGTAGCATAAATCAGCAGAAACAAAAAAAAAAGTGTGTATGGAGAATGCTGTATTATATTTCAGCTTTTCTGTTATAGTTGAAATTTTTCTGTTATTAGAGGTTATACCAAAATGAATATCATCCATTTTCACCTCAACCATATTTATGATGGTCCTTTTGAATTCATGATTCTTGACTCATTTCCTGTGGATCTTGCCTGTTCCCCAGTTGTCTCCAGATAGCTTGGAGGTTAGAAAAATCTTTGTGAGCATATTGTGGTGATTTTATTTAAGAAATCCACATGCTTCTTGATCCATCAAGCCATGGTGGGAATGGAATGATAGTTTCTCAGTGGTTGAGGATCTCCACCTTGTGGGCTTACCTTGACCTGGTTGTCACATAGTCACACATCTTTGAGTCTCTGGTCTTTGCCCGGCACTGGACTAGTCCCAGCCTTTGTGGATCTGGCCTTGATCAACATCATGATAGTTGAAGAAAAGATTGGAGTTGTCAATAATTTAATCTTAACTTGGACCCACAATCAACACTGTTGGTTCCAGAAGTCAAGAAATGGAAAGACATATTACATTGGGAAAAATATGCTGTCAGGGACCTCTCCAAAGTGCTGAAGAGCAGCATTGTCAGTTTAAAGACTAAGGTGCACCTGATCCAAGCCATGACCTTTTCAGTGACCTGCTGTCCCTCTGAAAGTTGGACCGTGAATTAGGATGACAGAAGATGGCTCAATGTCTTTGAATTGTAGTGTTGTTTAAGAGTTCTGCCTGTCCCACAGACTGCCAAAAGAGCAAGTGTGTCTTAGAGAAAGTGTAGCTGTGGTACTAGTTTGGGCAGGTGGTTTGTTAACAGGAGCCAGTTCTTGGAAAAAGACATTGTTCTTGAAAAGGTGGGGCATCAGTGAGAAAGAGAAAGACCCTCAATAAGATAGATCAACACAATAACTGTATCAGTGAGTCTAGTATATATCAGGGTTGTTGAGGACGGTACAAGATAGGACGGGGTTTAGAACCATTGGTCATAAGATTCTTGAGTTGTAGTCTACTTGATGGCACCTACCACCACCACCAACAACAACAACAACAACTTAATTGTATCCAGTGACAGGGAGCTCCCTCCTCAGTATTTCCAATTTATGTAATTTTAAAAACCAGTTTCAGTGTTAAACTTTTAGGTGGATTTTTACTTATTGGCTCTCTATAAGCCTCAGACTTCATCTTTCCTTTTGCTTCCTCAGCTAATTCGCATGCGTGAAACCAGTGAAGGCCGAGAAAACCTTGGACCATTCTCTTACTCTAGCCACAGAGCTTCAGTCTAGTAGAGACACAAAACAACTTTCCGTCTTGCATTCGCTCTCATTTGTGGTAATCACTCGCTCCCCTCTGGCCCTGTAGGTCCCCGTTGGCACTGAGATCGAAGGGATGAACATTCTGGGCTTGGTCCTCTTTGCCCTGGTGTTAGGCGTGGCCCTGAAGAAACTCGGCTCTGAAGGAGAAGAGCTGATCCGCTTCTTCAACGCCTTCAACGAGGCCACCATGGTGCTTGTGTCCTGGATTATGTGGTGAGTACGTCCGCTGCTCTCGTCCCGTTTTCTGGCTTCATCCAGGGAGGAACCTGAAACCATCATTACATACATGGTCCTGTGAGGCCATGTGGTCAGATGATGGAGAGGGCTGAAAAGTACACATTTGACCAGGTCCCTCAAGGCAACTTCTCAGATACCTTGTCAATTCCAGCATTAACCCCTGACAGAGTTAATCAAGGAACTAATATATTCTTTCACGCACAGAACATTTCCTCATTGTCAGCCGTTAAGGTTACTGGAACCATTTTCTCTTTCATAGATCACAGAAACTGGATTTTAGGGTTGGGGCGGGTACATCTGCAATTTAGTCAGAAGCTCGGAAATTGAATGGAAAGTCTGGTTTTAAGACCACACCACTCCTGCCCTGGCAAACACAACCCTCAATGCAAATAACCTCACTCAGGAAAGAGTTGTCATATTTCCAGGAAGGAAAAAGTTTTCAATCCCATGTCAAACTTTTTTCCCAGCCCCATTTTTTGACCAAATTCTTCTCAAGTTTGGACTGACAAGGGGATTCTGTTGGAGAATGCAGTGTGTAATGTTCTCATGTTAAGACATTTGCTTGAACCAATGTATACTAACTCCTTCCCTCGCTGTGCTGGTTACATAAGTAGCTATTGAGGGGGCAGGTGCTGCTGGCAGAGTGTTGCTGTAGTGGGAAATCTCTTGCCCTGAGCTGTCTGTTACAGACTTGCAATTTGAAGCTCTGGTGGGGGAGTGTTTATGCACCATCAGTCTGTAGGAGAAAGGAGTATTGTCCAGTACAGATTATGGCCATTGGAGGCCTGATGGAAGGTTTACTGTGTGCAGCAGAACCAACCTGATGGCAGTGAGGCTGTTTTTGACCACTTACTATCTCAGCCAAGTGGGGGGGGGGCCTTCAGTAGTAACTCTTTAAACCCTCAGCTTGTCTCTAGTTTTTCTCCTTCACTAATTACCCCTGGAACCAATGCACCCACCAACTTTACCTATTCAAAGAAATACATCAGAAGGTAAACACTTGGCTAGCTGACTTTTTCTAAAAGGAACACACAGTAACTATTTTCAGAATTTCAAACTATAGCTTCTCTGTCACACCTGCTGCACTCTGCTATTGTAGCTCAAAACAGCCATAGATACTAGGAGAGTGAATGAGGGCACGTTCCAGTAAAACTAACAAAACTCAGGATGCCAGCTCCCGGATTACGTGAACCTGGAGGAAAAGAAACAGGACTGGGCTGCTATTTCATTTCCATGACTTCTGGTGAGGTTGGACATAAAATGTTAATTGCTCCTTCAGTTTCCCTCATCTGTGAATTGCCTATTCACATACTTGTGTCACTTTTCTATTTTTCAGTCTTCCTCCACCCCACCCTCCGCCCCCAAGTAATCAGAACTCTAGTAAGGTGTTTCTCAAGCTAGCTTTGGGGAAAGACTGGTTTATTTCTATTTCCAGTCTTTCATGGGCCAATACTTTTCTAAAACTACAATAAAAATCAAAGCAGTAGAATCATTTTCATGTGCTTAGATTATACTCTCAAAAAAAAAAACCAAAAAACCCAAACCCACTTCATTGCCATTGAATCAAAACCAGCACATAGCTGACCCTCCAGTGGGTTTTTAGAGGCTGTGATGAAACAGTCGGCTAGGTCGTATAGTCCTGGTGTGTCCACTTGCCCTACAGCGGTAACTTGTGGTCACTGTGAAACTTAGCACTGTGACATTGATGTGTCAAATGCATTAATGGTTACCCATGGTGGACAGTGGAGCTCCCTGGTTAAAACAAGCCTGGAAGCAGGAGTGGCATCCACTTCTGTAAATAGTTTGCCTCTGGAAACCCTATGAACCTGGAGTGAGGATGAAAATCACGCAGGTGTCGAGGACTTTCGTTCATAGGGTCGCTATGAGTCGCCATCGACTCGACGGCACTTAACAACAACAAATCAAATGAGGTAGATTTCTATGTATTGATAAATCTGGGTTGTCCAGGCATTAATTCATGTGGTTCTTAACCTCAGGATTGTGGGTTTTAAGCTTGATATTTGCCTCTCTGTATTGATAAAGTATCTCAGAGACAGAATAAGGCCTGAAAAAGAAATATGCCGATTTAAATAGGTACATGTGTATCTAAACGTGGAAATAGGCATCTGTGCAAGGCTTGGCTTGAAGATGGTGCTGAAAGAGGGATTATTTGGGCCTAATTTATAAAGCGCTGGTGGCCTAGTGGCAAGAAGCTGCACTTGCAATCCCTAACATACATGGTTCAAGGCCACCAGCTGCTTCACGGGGGGAAGGATGGACAGTCTCCTCCTGTGCGATTAACTGCCTCTGAAAACCCGCCAGAGGGTCTGCTATGGGTCAGTTCCAACTCTACGGGACACAACAACAAACAACATAAAGAGTTTTACTTTCTTGAAAGGAACGTATTCATGTGTTAATGTGGAGTTTTAAAGTAATAATACAGCTTGAAATATTCCTGGGAAGAAAAGTCACACAGCCAGTGGCAGTGGCTGTCTTCCGGGAGGAAAACTAGATACTCAAGGACCAAAGGTAGATGGAGACTTTGCCCCATTCGTCTTTTTGTACCTGTTGAAAATTGAACTGTGACATTATTACTTACATAGTGAAATTGTGCACATATCCAGTAAAAAGTTTTAGAAATTAACAAATAAAATGTACTGTTAACATAAACTCAGTAATTATATTATCCCTCCTCAGTTTGCATTCAATTCAAAACGACCGATACTTGTTCCTGTGCTCCAGTTGTTCGTTTCTCGCCTTCCTCCTTCCAGCCCTTCCATTAAAAAAACCTTCACACCCTTAGAGTGCTCCCAGCCACTCATTGTTACTGACTTTTTCCCACAGAATCGTGTTTTCCAGCCCACAAAAGGATTTAAAACATCACAAAGCCCCAGCTTTTGGCTCTTGTTTGGCCTCCCAGCGTTCCATAAAATAGGGCTTAGTTAGTCTTTTGCTGTGTTTCTAAGTCTCAGAACAGGCACAAGGAAAACAAAAGTCAGGCTCGTAGTCCCTGGGGGCTTTGGTCTTGAGTTCATGCCCCTCCTCTTGGGAGCCCCCAAGGTTGATAGTACTCATCTGTTAGGAACCTGTAATCTATCCGAAGGGAGAGAAGATTGAGTCTGTCCCTGACTTCTTTACCCAAAGTGAGTTACAGTGTTCGCTGTCCTCAGTTTCACAACCTGTGAAATGGGAGTGGCGAGGGGGAGGTGCAAACCACCCAGCTGCACGTCCCTTCGCTCTGTATCAGGGGCGCCTGCACGCCCCGGTCCCCATGTCGCATCCTCACTGACGCGCCCCCCGTGCTTCTGCCCTAGGTACGTGCCTGTTGGCATCATGTTCCTCGTGGGAAGCAAGATTGTAGAGATGAAGGACATCGTCGTACTGGTGACTAGCCTGGGCAAATACATCTTTGCGTCTATACTGGGCCATGTCATCCATGGAGGAATTGTCCTGCCACTTGTTTATTTTGTCTTCACACGAAAAAACCCGTACAGTTTTCTGCTGGGCCTCCTCACACCGTTCGCAACGGCGTTTGCCACCTGCTCCAGGTGAGTGGGTCTCGGCGCTGGAGCCGTCTGGAACTGGGTGGTGCGTGAGAGATGCCTGGCCAGCTGTGTTTTCACTCCTTGAACGTTTCAGCTGGTCTCCTCTGATTGTAGTAGTACAACCCCACAACCTGTCATTTCTCTGTGGGGTGAATGGTCTGTCTTCTCATCGGGGAAGCTTGCCTCATCCCTTTTTTCCCCTCTTGCTCAATCAGATCATAAGTTTGCCCCAGTACAGGCCCCCTTTGCCTGTGTGAAGAAGGCAGCTCGTTTAACTGAAGAAATGCATTAAATGGAACTTTCTAGAATGAAGCCTGGAACCTAGCCCTTCCACCTTCTGGGTGTGTGAATTCTCTCTGTCTCTCTCTGTCTCTCTCTCTCTCTCTCTCTCTCACACACACACACACACACACACACACTCACAGTCGCAGCACCATGCTCAGGAAAATGTGCTCGATTGCAGTTTTGTGGAATTGTCCACATTGATGCAAAAGAGGCAACTTGTCATTCATTTAAAAGTGTTTAAACAAAAAGATCTAGGTTTCCAAAATTAAAAAAAATCTGATTTCCAGAGGACATCAGCACTTTGTTCCGTATTTAATGTTTGTCTCTGCACCGCACATTTCCTTCCATCCTTGATGGCTGTGTATGTTGACAAGATGCTGATCCTAGAAGGAACAGGGCCAGTGGTTTGTACAGCCCCAGACAGAAACAGTCCCAGTTCTCAGTCGCGCCAGGTAACCTCTGCGGATCCAGCCGAGGAAACAGCCCCTTGTGCTTGACCCCAGACGTTTCATGACCCCTCAGTTACTTTCTGCTGCTCAGAACCGTCTCAGCTTCTTGGCCTAAGAGAAAAATTAAAAATCACAGTTTGTTCTCTACTTTTTGGGAGAAAAACACCAAACATTCAAAAGTGATGAGGAGATAAATAAGTAGCAAATCATTGTTTATCCTCTGGGAAACCTTTTTACCTCATGGTATTATTCTACCATGTATAATTCTTGAGTTGAACTTGGAGGAAGTCAGTCTACGTAAGTGACCAGTGAATCTGGTGAGCTGTATTTTTAACGTTTCTGGAGTTGGCTAAGCCCCATGTTAGGATGGAAATGTTGAGACAGTTTTATATGCTTTCTCTTTTTTCAGTGGAAGAATGACAAAAACAGGCAGGATGGCAAATCCCCTGTTCTGGGTTTGGTGGCCTTTTGTATTATATGTCACTCTGCTAACTGAAAAGTTAGCAGTTCAAATCAAAGACGGTCTGTTTGCTCCCATAGATTTACAGCCTCAGAATTTCTGACTCTGAGATCGAATCGGTGGTAGTGGGTGTGGGGAAGGGCTCCAGATGAGTGATGTATAAGCCGGGGCGGGGAAGGGGACCGTGTTCACGGCTTCTTGTTTTTATGATTTAGTACTGATTTTCTGTTTCCATGTCTAGCTCAGCCACCCTTCCTTCGATGATCAAATGCATCGAAGAAAACAATGGTGTGGATAAGAGGATCAGCAGATTCATCCTCCCCATTGGGGCCACTGTGAACATGGACGGGGCTGCCATCTTCCAGTGCGTCGCTGCCGTCTTCATTGCCCAGCTCAACAACGTCACCCTGAACGCGGGACAGATCTTCACCATCCTGTACGTCCCTTCTCTCCCTCTGCTTTGTTGTGGTGGTGATGTGCCGTTGAGTCACCCACGACTCATAGTGACCCTCTGCTCAATAGCTCGGAACCCTGTCATATCCTGAGCCAATCTCACTGTCTCTGACATACCTGCCCACATCGCCCCAGTCACTGTGTCAATCCGTCTCATACAGGGGCTTCCTCTGCTGCCCGGCACCTCCTCCCTTCAGGCTTACTCAAAACCCAAGACGTGTCCTGTGATTTTTTTATTATGATTATTCTTTTTAAAAAAATTTTACTTTAATAATTCTAATGAACATTTACAGAGATTTTGGATTTCCATTCATTCATTGCATTATGATTATTCTTACACCTCATGAAAGGCCAACCTCCCCACATCTCAGGTGCCTCATTTGTAATGAAGACACTTTGAATTCATTGCTGATAAAGCAGAGCCCCACCCCCACCCCTCCAGGGCTCAGCTGGCAGGATCTCTGATCCAGCGTGTGGTTTGGCATTTCTCTGAGGACACTCCATGCTGATAGCTAACCCCGCTTTGCTGTCCCCTAGAGTGACCGCCACGGCGTCCAGCGTAGGAGCAGCGGGCGTGCCGGCCGGAGGTGTCCTGACCATCGCCATAATCCTGGAGGCCATTGGCCTGCCCACTCATGACCTGTCTCTGATCCTGGCTGTGGACTGGATCGTGTAAGTAGCAAGTCCCCAGGGGGTTGGGAGACTGTGTCACTGAGGGTTTAGGAAAGCAGATATTGAGTGTCAATGGACTGCACGTGGCCCAGGGCATGCGGAGAGACTTAAAAAGAGGTCTCTGGCTCGAGCTGACCCTGGGGTTTGCAGAAGAAGAAAAAGGAAGCTATGTTTTAGTTTCCATCAGGTGACCCCCGACTCCTAGCGACCTTGTGAACAACAGACCTGAGCCTTACCCCGTTCTGTGCCGCCTCAGCCCATTGTTAAAGTCACTGTGTCAGTCTGTCTTGCTGAAGCTCTTTCTCTTTCTCTGGCCCTCCACCAATGCCCAGAGTGATGTCTGTTTCCAAAGACTGGCCCCTCCTGACAGCATGCCCCAGGGATGTGCATTAGGGGCTCCCTGGAGGGCACCTCTGAGTACTGAGAGTGAAATATGTCAGAGACCCACCCCCCTTTGTCCAGACAGCACTTCAAAGGGAACTTGATTTAAGCTTGAGAGAGCCAGAGCAGAGGCTTGAGGTCCTCACTCATCGGCCTCTTCGGTGTGGGGAAAGGACACCTGAGGGTGCTTGGGGAACAGTACACCACGCAAGCTGCCCAGTGGGGGCCTGAGCCACGCAGCCGTCCTCACAGTCCCTCTTCCACGCCGCGTGGCCGGACATGACGGCTGGCTCCGGGTGGCAGCACCGAGTGTCACGCCTGTCTTCTGTTCTTTCCCCGCCAGGGACCGCACAACCACCGTGGTGAACGTGGAGGGGGACGCCCTGGGTGCGGGCATTCTCCATCACCTGAATCAGAAGGCCACGATGAAGGGAGAGCAGGAGCTGAGCGAGGTGAAGGTGGAAGCCCTCCCCAACAACAAGTCTGAGGAAGAGACCTCCCCGCTGGTGACACACCTGAACCCTGCCGGCCCTCCGTCCGGCGCCGCAGAACTGGAGTCCAAGGAGTCGGTCCTGTGAGGGAGCTGGGTGTGGGGCTTGCAGGGGCTCCTCACCCTGTTAGCCCACCTGCGGGATTTGGGGCGCGACCCCACAGACTCGAACTCCTGACCATACTTTGGGCCCATGACCAGATTGAGAATTGATTTAGCGGTGGACTTTCTAGCAGGATGAGTTCTCGAGGACCAGGACTCTGCCATTTGGCCAGATCCACGCCCAGCTCAGCTGTGTTACCCTGGGGACATTTGCAGACACCCCGTGGTGCTGCGGGCCTTGAGGAGGCCGGCGTGGAGACTGGAGGCATGTTCTTTGCACACAGCCAGCTCTGTACTGGGTGCGTTCCAGACAGACCTAGGGGATCCCAGGCACCTATTGTATTGCCTCATCTGCACTCGTAATAGGAAAAATCCTTCACCTTAGCTGGAATTTATTGAACTGGAACTGTTTAAGGAGTCTGTGGGGGCTGTGGGCTGACGTCTGATTCTCTGGTTGCTGGAGGCCTGTTTGGATGGCGTTAGCATTTATGGGCTTCTGACCAAACCATGTACATACTGAGGTCACAGAAGGGTGAGAGCATCTGGCCTGCATGTGAGGGAAGGACCTTAATCAGGAATGGACATAGGAACACCATCTCGTGTCTCAGCCCTGGGCTCTGTCAGCACCTGACCTTTATCTCCTCAGATCTGATCTGTTCACGCCTGTGTGAGGCCACCTCTGGGTAGGAGTGATGTCATCATATCTGACACTTTCACCGGCTCACTGATGTTGGTTTCTTTTCATTCAAGAGTGCTGCATTGCAGCAAAGGAAACACACACACACTCTCACACACACACACACCTAACCACTGGAGGTGGGTGTCTCCACTTCCAGGACCCCAGGGTTGATGTGGTTTTCATGGAATTTACTCTACTTTCCTGCCTGGGCATCAATCTTGGCCATTCTTGTACAACTAACTTGTTTTCAGCCTCTGTAGAGGTTTGTGGGTTTTTTTTGGTTTTTTTGTTGTTGTTTTTTTTCTCGAGAACACCATGTATTTCTGGTGACGAGAAAGATCAAAAAGGTACGTCCACTGTCTTGGTACAACCTGCAGCAAGTCCCGGGGCCTCACTTTACCCCTTTTGTGAAATGAGGCGAAAGTCACCCGCCTCCTACTACCTCCGAGGGATGCTGGTGAGGCCGACTGAGTGAACGTGTGAAAACCGGCTTCGTCACCCACACGACCTTATTGTTTTCTACCCAAGTGATGCCTTTCTTCACAGAGGCCTCTTGGTGGAGGGCAGACAGCGTTATGAGATTTCATTCTGCCTCTTATCATGCCACTTATTCTTCATGGGCTTCATAGCCTCAAATGCAGCCCTCCTGATGTTCTTCAAGTTTTAATGATTTAACTGCCTGGCTCTCTGGGTCCCTCCCTGACTGTTGACTCCTTGTCCCTGTCCTGCCACCCCACCACAGGGCATTAAAGTCCCGGGATGGTCAGCCTCATCCGTCCTGTTTTCTGAGTGGTGGTGAATCACCTGGCCTCCACAGAAGGGGCACACACTCTTGATTCCGCTGAAATGGGCAGCTGGGTTGAAACCATCAAGCTCTCCTAATTTTATTTTGGGGAGGCCTGTGCTTGAGCAGAAGGGGTAAATACAGAGTGGACTCTGCCTGTGGGGTCCAGCTTAGCCCTTGGTCAAGCAGCTCAGTGACTCCGTCTTGGGTTTGGCTGAGAGGGAACAGGTTTTGAGAGTTGTGCCAGCAAGTGTTTGCCCTCTGGATGGGGCTCGTTGCTTACAGTCTTGTTTTCACAGGAAGCCTCCCATTTGGTTTGATTCCACAAAGGGCCAGTGAACCTTCCCTGTAGATACAGTCAGTGCCAATGCAGACGAGTTTGAGTTCGTAGGGCTTTGGCACTCTGCTCTTCACGTGTTGGAAGATGCCTTTCTGGACAGGAGGGAATGAGAGCTGAAAAATAGCCCAGCGACTGAGTGTCCACACCCTGGAGCTGGAAGGCGGGATTAGAGGGGTGGTGAAGTCTCAAGAAGGTGTGTCTGTGCAAAGCATCCCATCTCCATCCCCTGGGGGCAGAAGAGCGACCAGGTGCCCTTGCTCTGCCTCATCCAGGAGCCCCAGGGGGAGTCAGACCAGATGTCACCTGGGGGGAAATCCCACTCATTGTCTGAACACAAATCCCTGGCTGGCTGTTCTCTTTCTAACATGTCCTAAATATTGTTCACTGTTTCTGTTTTTTACATGTGATACTTGCCTTAAGACATAGCATAGTCCTCAATAATAGTGTTTCTGCTGGGATCTGCTCGTGCCTTTCTTGTGTTACAAAGTGACAGTTCCTGAGGTGCTGTTGTGTTTCTAGAGGTGTCCTGGGGTAACCAGATTGCTGTCATTGTTGCCTTTGGCCCACGTGAGCCTCTGAAGATGGTGCAGGGTGTTTACTGGCCTATTGTAGCAGTCAGCTCTGCGGGACATCCGGCCAACTTGTGGGCTCCTGGAAAGCATGCATAGTTTGGCCACATAGCTCCGTCGAGTTACCATTTATCAGAACAACTCAACAAGCTTTGGTTGAGGATTGGAAAGCCAGAACCAGGCTGAGTCCACCAGTCCGTAGATTACAGGAGAGTGTCTGCCTAGGACAGCTGTTCATGCCCTGCCATCCTCACCGCCACCCTCGGCCTTTCTTTCCTCTGACCCTGCTCGCAGGGCCGCCACGTTTCAGCATAGTTGGGGAAGCTAGAAGGCTTAAAACAGGATTGTGCAAACTTGCCCTGGAATTCTTGGTTTCCAGGCCCTGGGCCCTCCAAAGAATGGTGCATCCTGACCTGGACTTCTCCGGCTTTCATATAAGACAGGACCTGGCTGCCAAGTGGGGCAGAGTGGAGAGTTAGTGCAGACCAAGAGCTTTACGGGGCCTGTCCCTCGTGACTGTGGATTCTCTCCCTGGCCTGTGGTAGCTGTTCTTGAATCACCATTTCAGAGTGTGTTTGGAGGTTAAGACTGGCACTCTGATTTCACACGGCTCTGTAGCCAGGTCCAGAGGTCCAGAAGTGCAGTTCCATGCCCTCAGGCTGACCCGCAGTGCTGATTGGCAGGGTCACTTGCACCTGCTTGGCGAGGGCACTTCACTTCCACCTGTGGGGCAGGGACTGACTGGGCCCCGGTGCCGAGTCTTCCTCGGCTCGTTGTGTGACCCTGGGCTCAGGCTCTCAGCTGCACTCTGCTGATGTTTTATGGAGACAAAAAGTGTAGCCAGAGCGTATGGGCTATATTGAGGATTAGGTGAATTCATTTACGTGAAGTGCGCTGAAAGGCACCTGACATACAGTTAGGGCTACGTCAGTGTCCCCGCCCCAGGTTTAGCTGATTAAACCCTGGAGGGAAAGGCTGAGGCATGTCCACAGAAGAGGCAGCATTCAGGCTCCTGCTCAAAAATCTCCTACCTCAGCTTAGTCCTGGTTTAGTCTGTTAGAAGCAACCTATTGAGCAAATTTTTCCAAATTACAATTTACCTTCTATGCAGGCAGAGTTCTCTATAGAGGCAAAACCAAAAACATATGTTGTTGTTGTTGTTGTTGTGTGCCATCAAATGGGTTTAACTCATAGCCGACCCTCCAGCAGGTTTTCAGGAGCAGTAAGTTGCATGAGAAGCAATTGCCCATCTTTCTCCTGCAAAGCAACTGGTGGATTCAAACCATGTGATTTCAGGATTGCAGTGCAGGCTCTTACCTCTAGCCCACCAGAGCTCCCTATTCATGTACAGAGGGAGAATGAGTTCTTTCAAGGAAATGTCTGTACTTATAGAGCTTCCCAAGTCCTTGGGTCAGAAGTCAGGATAGAGGCTTCTCCTGACTCAAACAAGCAGCAAAGGCTGATGCAGCCAAGATCAGCAGGCCGGATGGCAAGCTGCCGGCTTTGGTGATTCATGAGCCTGTTACATTTCTAGAAGCAGGTTGCCAGGTCTTCCTTCCAAAATGGCAGGCTGCTGGCACAAGTCCAAATAACCCACCTCGGCTGGTGATGAGTTAGATCCAGGTTCCCAACTGAGCAGAAAGCAAGAGAGCTGTGCCACATTCTAAGAGACTTTGCTTCCGACAGAGACTGTTCAGAGCAGATCTGACGGGAGTGATTATGCTGTCTTGGATCCCACCGCGAGAGTAACTCCATCGTAACCGCCAGAGCAGAGGCTCGTGGGCAGCTAAGTGGACACACAGCATTAGCCTTCACATCTTTTCTGCTACCTTCTTACCCTTCTGGCAAATATTTCCTCCCTGACAGGATTCGGAAGCAAACAGACCCCTGGAGTTGTAGGGGTGGCTGTTTGCATTTGACTGAGTCCAGGAAAAACTTGTGTCATGTCTTTCCTGCTTGCTGACATCCATCACAGTGCAGCCTGAATCCTGTGACACACGCGCACACACACACACACACACACACACACACACACACACACACACACACATATACACAGGCGCAGGGCTGGTCTAAACCACAGGGCGCCAGCAACAAGATAAACAACTCAGGAAAACCCTGGCTCCTCGTGCTGTGTGCCGTCTGAATGAGGGCAGGGAAATTGTCAAGACAGACTCATTTCTGGGATCCCAGCCACCAGGCTCATCTATCTGTACGAAGTGTTTTGCAAAGGAAAGACTGAGTAACTTCCGCTCTCTCTCTCTCTCTCTCCCTCTCTCCAGTTAGTAACCTACCTAACTTAGAGCCACAGTTGAACTGTGAAAATGATCCCCAATCCAGTTTGACCTAAATTTGCCCTTCCCATTGGATGTTCCTGGGTTGATTCTGAATACAGTCCCTTGTACAGCAGAATAAAACTCCCTCAGTTTTCCTGAGCTGTGACCTTTATGCAAAGAGATCACCAGGTCTTTCTTCTGTGGTGCCACAAGGTGGGTTCAAACTGTCACACTTTTTTTAGCAGCTGAACTAATCACTCTTACTATTTTTAACCATTCTTCAACTATGCTTATGTTTTATGGAATCAAAAGTTGTTATAAATACTAATTTTGTTCAGATAAGCCAATATACTGCCATATGAGGTCAACATGAACAGAAATGATGTTGTT